GGAGACAAGCTCAACAAACACATGTGTTGATCATCCGCTACTTCTTCAAAAGCAAAAGTATCTCATATCATCGGGGTTGAAAGCAAAGGTATCTCATATCATGCTTTTTTCCCTATCATTTCCTTTGCCCTTGTTCTTGCTTTGCAGAACAAGGAGAAAGGAAGCAATCAGTCGGAACCTGAAATTAAACGTCCGATCAGGAACTGATTGCCAGGAACCTTTGCCTGGTTGCTCACCTAGCGTTGCTCTCGGGTACTCATCTTCAACTGTTGACGGATCTCGAGTTTCCTCAGCAAATATTTCAAAACAGTTGATAGGTGTTGGCTCTTTACACTGAAGCTGCCAACCACGGATGAGTGGCTGAAAAGTGATGCTCTGAAGGACCATTTAAAGGCAAAAGGTTGCCGCCACTGCTGCCAGGTATTAAAGAACTTCCTACAGGTAATTTAAGAACTAATGGCCTGTGGAAAGTCAACAATTGGAGGAAACCAAAAAAGTCATCCGAACCAGTTCAAGATCGAAGCTGTGGAAAGTCAACAAGTGGAGGAAACCAGAAAATCCTCCGAACCAGTTCAAGATCAAAGCTGTGGAAAGTCAATAAGCACAACAAAATACGTGCCGATTCACCCACTACCAAAGAAAAAGATCATCTACCACATGAAGCTCCTTGTGGTCCAATTTCAACCTTCAAGATCAAGCCTCAACGGCCCTTGAAGAAATTTCAAATGAAAGTTCAAGAACAAGCCTCAACGGCCCTTGAAGAAATCTCCAGCCCAATTCAAGATCAAGCCTCGAATGGCCCTTGGATCAACATCTACAATAAGGGACTTCAAAACGCATCTTCTACACGTGACAAGCACATGTATACGACGCGCCTTGAAGTGGGGGCATTTGTAGACATCGAAATTTCGGTAAAATAAATGTTGATCAAAAATTAAAATTTCAATGTTTATGTGTCACATAAATTTTACACATAGCATGTGACTAAACGAAAAATCAAAATAAATCGGAAAAGTCATCAAACAGGACATGTGTCAACACCTGGCAGAGATGATTTATTCCATCTAATTATTTAAATCCAAAAATCAAGTTTTGGAATTCTATAAATAGGAGGCCAAGGCATTCATTTTGGGACACCAATTCATAACCAATTCACTTCATATCAAAACCTTGAAGCTTTGAAACTCAAAAGCTCCCAAGCAAATCCCGAAGGATCAAGAGAGCTCTCTTCGTTCTTCGTCAAATCCTCATTCAAGATCAAGCCCCAACGGCCCTTGAAGAACTTCCACTGATTCAAGATCAAGCCCCGACGGCCCTTGAAGAAAGTGTTCATCGTTCATCATTCGTTCATCCCTAGATCAAGCCCCGACGGCCCTTTGGATCCACGACGTCAACAAATCTGCACAACTGTTTATCCCAAGATCAAGCCCCGACGGCCCTTTGGATCAACAACATCAAATCTACCCATTGCAAAGATAGAATCAGAGGCTAAATTTGTAGAAGAGATTGTAACCCCTAAATCATCAATACAAATATTATTTTGTACACGTGTTTCTTGTCTCGTTCATCGCAGGAAAATCCCGTGTTCACAATGTTAACCTAGAGGTTTCTGTTTGGGGCTAGCTTCGGTTAGCTTATCCCCAAAAGAACGAGAAGAACTTTCTTGCACCGGTTGCATGAGTATGTTCATCTGTATGCCCTTTAGGACTTTTGGACTTTTAAGTTTTTGACCTGCACATAGGCATGCGCATAATGACATTGATTAGTACATTTGCGCATGGGTTTCTTGAGGTTGTGAGTTCATAGCGTGGAATAAGTGGTACCACACTACTATTTGTTAGAGTTCTGTCAAATGATCAAAACCAGTAGAAAAATAATTTCTACACATGTTTTTCTCCAATATACTCTTATTTATTTTAGTTACTTCGTTTTTTTTTTAACTAAATAATGTATTTTTAGTTAAATAGTTAAATAGTTGTTAGAATATCTCCAATCCAAGGGTGTGCTCTCAAATTTTAGCCCCATATTGTCAATTATTTCACCTATACGTATGAGGTTAGGCAATTTTTTTCCTCGAACAGTAAGAGACATATAATTTCCACCCCAAACTTTATAATTTGTTAAACTTTAGTATTTAGTTGATTTTTTGTTAATAATTTAGGAATTAGTTTTTGTATAATCTATGTTGTTCTATTTTTGCAAACATTTTGATGTGAAAAAATTCAAATTCTGAAGAAAAAAAAAATTGTTGAGAAAATTGAAATTTTAATGGATCAATGAACACATGGATGTGTATTTATACAGTTTTGGACTAGTTTTGGTGTTGGATATGATTTGGTTAATAAATAATGTTATTTTGACAGTTAGATTTAAATTTTAGCCGTTTGATATTTTTATTACAGTTAACATTGATTAAATTGAATTTGAGCCATTGAATTAAAAAGGATACAGCTGGCGGGCCACTCTGGAACATAACTCATGAGGCGCTACAACCATTGGATTCGAATGGCACGCCAATCTGGACGGTAAAACCCGTGTTTATCGTGCACTCGCCCGCGGAGAATCCCTTTGTCATCTTGCTGTTGTTGCATAGGATCCGTGTGGCCTTGTTTCACGTGATGGAGCAGAGTTGCGTGAGTCCCTTGGCCCACAAGAAACCTTATCCATCTTGGGGGATAGGACAACCAAATACCCACCCCCATCCTTAAAATACACATATTAGAAATTATTAGCAAAAGTGTCTGCGCGATGTTACGGGTGTTCAAAATGTTTTGATAATATGTACATAAAGAAAATATAATTTATTGAAGCTATATTTATATACCTAAGGTAGAGATTGGCAGTGTTCATAGTTATCAAAAAGATTGGCAGTGTCCAATTGCTCACTATGAAAGCTATATACATGTATAGAAGTTCATAGTATCAAAATCGTTCAAATACGAAAATATACATATGTCCATATCAGAAGCTTGGCACTGCACATCTACTCTATGTTTATGATTTTTCCTGGTCAATCTTTTGGTCTTTGCTTGTTTGGGAATTACCATCTTTTTCTTGGTCACCATGTTCTTTTTTGCTTTGTCCATAATTTTTCTCTTGCTATATATTAAGCATTGGAATCGGTAAGATTTCAATATAAAAAACTAAGGGCTTGTTTGGTATTCTATTTGAAATTTTTTATAATTTCTCAAAATATTTCTTAAGAATTTTTCTTGAAAACAGTTTTCTTTAAGACTCAAAAACTTGTTTGGTATGCGATTTAAAAATTTTAAATCTTACAACTTAAACTGGACAAAGAGATCAAAAAAGACGGGGTCAAGAGAGATAGAGGAGAGAGGAGGAAATAAAGTAAGAGATGATTGGAGGAAAGAGAAAGAAGTGAGAGGATCGGAGGAGATAGAGTGGAAGAGGAGTGGAAGAGGAGTGAGAGAATGAATTGAGAGAATGAAGAGAGCGGATTGAAGGAGAGACGAAAAAGGTAAAAAAAAAAAAGAGAAGATGGAGAGAGAGAGAGAGAGAGAGAGAGAGAGAGAGAGAGAGAGAGAGAGAGAGAGAGAGATTTAGAGTGAGAGGGGAGGAGGGAGAGAAAAGAAATGAGTGAGTTTTAAGTCTAAAAACTCTAAAAACTTATTTTTTGTGTGTTTAGATAATAAACTATATTTTTTAGTTAGTCTTGAGTTCAGTTTTAAAAATAGTCATACCAAACAAGTTTTTAAGGCCTAATACTTGAAAATTGTTTTTGAGTTTAAAAAGTTAGATTCAAGTAGAGTATCAAACAAACTCTAAATTTTTCAATCGATTTAACCAATGAATTGATGGAGGAGCGAAAAAGAGAAACAAAAAATAGGGCCATTATTCAATTATCTGGAGAATTACTTGATATGTACAAAAGGTTTGAAAATTAAACTAACATTTAAAAAAAAATGATGAGATGGAGTGGAAATCATATACCAACATCAAGCTTAAATTTGTAGTGCTCATTTGTAGTGCTATCTGCAATTAGTCTTATCAGGAGCTTCTGCACTAGTTGATGTCTCGGTGTTTTTCTTAGCTGCATGTACATTGTAGACTTGGGTAGATGAGAAGCAAAAGAAAATAAAAATATAAGTTAAAGTTACAACTTAACTATCTATGTTGATTCATGTCCAACACATAATAAGAATAGCGAATCATTTTCCATCTCGTGCACTGGTTTGTCATTGTCACTTGAATTCACAAATTCTTTTACTCTGAATTTCTTAGTTATGACAAGGGAATGAATGTTTAAACAAAAATATGTTTCTATGTTTTCCCACTAAACTACATGTTAAACCAAATCCAAACGTTAAAAAAATAAATAAAAAAAAAACCTTCGTCAAACCTCTTGGGCTTCAAGTCCACCGACTCCACCCCAATACTCACTGGTGCCCCAAACATTCTTGCACCTTCAGTAGCCTAGATCATGCATGTATCAGTATTCGAAAAAGAAAATAAATGCAATTTATTAGAACAAAGAATTTGGGATCAACAAAGTTTGTCCAAACTTACAGTGAGGCCAATAAACAGTAACTAAGGATAATTTTTTGTTTTGCTACATTGAGAGGGGCGCAAACCTAATATTAAAAAATAAAATATTCAATATAGTGCAAACAATTCAATATGTAGTATAAATTTAGGATGCATATTCAACGCTCTAGAGCATTGAGTAGGACACCAAACTTGTCGGTATGGTGCAACTGAGGATGCAAACTTTGTCCAACTGAGCAACGGGCTTGATTTTGGAAAGACGGTCAGAATGAACAACAATGTATTCACTCGAAGTAAATGTAAGATCCCACATCCCCCAGGGATGAGGATCTTGTAAGCCTTATATGTATATTCTCATCTCTACCTAGCATGAGGCCTTTTGGAAACTCACTGGTTTTGGGTTCTATCGGAACTCCAAAGTTAAGCGAGTTCGCACAAGAGCAATCTCATGATGGGTGACCCACTGGGAAGTTCTCGTGTGAGTTTCCAGAAACAAAACCGTGAGGGCATGGTCAGGGACCAAAGCAGACAATATCGTGCTACAACGGAGTCGAGCCTGGGATGTGATAGGGGCCCAGGTCGAGATGTGACAGTAAATGTGCCTGGAAAACTATACTCATAGTTTACAAATCTGCAATTCTCAAAGGTTAATCATATAAAATCATATATGTGTGTGTGTATTATGTATATTATATGTATGTAGTAGCTATTATTGCTGACCTTGGCAAAAGTAAAGTTTAGTGTGATAAACTGAGGTATATTTGACCTTTATCCTTATTTCCATGGCCTTAAGTGGAGCAACCTTCACCCTCTCCATCACCAACGGCTTCCTTGTCTCCCATGCAACCGCTGTCGCAAAATCTACAACATAGAAATCCCAAATTGAGGAGTATTAAATCCCTATCCTCAAATATCCTTCGAAACACATGCAAAATGAAGAACAATGGACCTAGGGGCAAAGAAGCTGATTGGTGTTCATAAAAAAAATATTTTAGTTTTAATTGCCTTGTATTTGAGAAGAGGTTCAGAACTCTCTTCAATTTCTTTTGGTTCTGGTTTGGCTTCAAGCCTAGCCTCCATTGTTGCCATTGATAGAAGACAGGCTCTTAGGAATGTAAGTGGACATGAATGGAGCTTGATATAATCTAATTATGAAAACATATACTAATCAAAGATAAAATTTAAGGTGCTTGGACGAACTTATCCAATGAAATTATCTAAATATGTTGAGAAGAATATCTTTTTTTACATATTTTCTCAACAACCAAACAACATATTTTGTCACCGATGCTCAGACGGAAACAATTCGTCAGGAATTTGAAGATCGAAACCCTAAAACCTTAACACTTGAGATCGATTTGATTAAATGTGAGAGAATTTGTAGAATTTTATATGTTAGCTTGATGGTTTGAGTTTGTTTTCTTATTTTAAGCAAAGAAAACTTCAATCAAATGCCAAATAAAAACTCCAGTATATCACCTGATGACAAATCGGTGAGAGAGCTTTTGGGTAAAAGGGTCGGAGAGGGTTTGAAGTTGGAATCTGCTAATGCTGGGGTGAGTCAAGATGACGTTGCAGTCCGATTGTTGGCCGACGACCAAGATTTCTTCATGGGTTTTCTGTCCAGATGGGTTTGTAGTACGGCTGCGGTTGAGATTTGTTGATGATGAAGCGGTCAGCGAGAGAGAAACAACGATTTTGAGAGAAATTGCGAAAATGGATTTGTTGGTTTGAGGTTGTTTGCGATGATTGTGAGTGATTATGGAGATAAAGCGGCATGAAGTGGTGAGCAATAGTGAGAGGGGGGAGTAGGCAGGAAGTGTCAATGGAACGGGATCCCATGTGTTCAGGAACGCTGCTCCACTTGACATCATGACAAAATGGCAAAGTTGAAAAAACCGAAAAAACCAGGGGGTAAAATCGAAAATCCACTGTAGCCATACAGTGATTTCCCCAACAGTTTTAGTATATACCAGCAACGGTGCCCGTGCGATGCTACGGGTTTTGAAACTGTATAAAATATATAGAAAGTTCTAAATACATACAATATGCAATACTATTTATATGTAGGAATCTATTTACAACCATATGGATTGGCGGTTCTATTGCCATTGTTCTAATATTGCATCTTTTACAAATTGAACTCGTAACTGTCCTCTAACTGTACAATTTTTTTTGTATGTAATTTTGTTTACATACAAAAAATAATATTTGATGTGTATATACATACTATTTATAGACAAAAGTTTGATAGATAGTCCCTATTTATATCCTCATGAAATATGCAGATAATCAACCTATTTTTCCCAATCATAACCAAACTGTGTTGTTGCAGTTGACTTTAAGTCGTCAATGGAATGAAATACTAGAAGTCGAAGATAAACGAATGTAGAAATCTTCAAGCCCTAAACATAGTGGCCCTGCTTTTTGCAACAAAACAATACTTTTATTACAGATAATTACAGGAAAAACTTTTAAAACTGGAAATAAAATTAAGTCAAATGATTAGGGTACAAGAATTTTCCTTGACCATACATACACAAATAAAATTTAAATTAAAAAAAAAAGAAAAAAAAAGGCAATCTCAAATACACAGAGATTGAAAATTCATTAAACAATTTATTAAGCATATATAGGTTAACCAAACAGATAATCTTATTCAATCACACCATTTTAATTTATCAAATTGATTATTTAATACTGTCATGCTAAAAAATTGTTCTGACAATACCCTCTCATCCCAGTATGATAAACCAAAAATTCTTCAATCTCTTGCGTGTCATTTCAGTTCTTAAAACCGTCGAAAGAAAAAATTAAAGTTTCTTTCTTACCGAAATCCACCAATTTGAATCAAATCCACCAAAGAAGCATACATGTTCTTTACTTGAATTATACATATATTTGAGAAGAATCAAATAAAGACTAAAATTCAAAATTCTTTCTCCCCTTAAATAAAATTCTATACATGCATTTAATAATCTTAATTTCCTGGAAGCAAGTTGGATAATGTGTAAACATAGACATTATAATGCTCAGGAAATAGGCCATCTTTTACAGCAAATTAAATTACCGTTTCACTCGAAGAAGTATAAAGTTCGAAAAGGGTAAGTAAATAGACACACAAAGATATATATATATATATATATATATATATATATATATATATATATATATATTTGATGCACAGTCCACCCTAGTCGGCAATGGATGTACATCACCTGAAAAGCCTAGCAAATTTTCGTAATGGGGCTTGAAAATTGAAGTTTAAATAGTAAGTTAACAACTTAAAACACTAACACTCTGTTTGGATATAGTAAAATAAAATAGAATTTCACTTAAACTAGGGAATTAGGATGGGAAAGCAGTTTTCCCACGTTTGGCAACCCTGCTACGAGAGAAACGGCAAATTCCACGGGAAAAAAAGGGGGAAATCGGGGATGAACAATCCCGAGTTTAATTTCCATCAAAATAGGTGGAATTTCACAATTCCAACAACGGAGAGAATCCCAAATCCATCGGATGGAAATCTTGCAGGCGGCAAATTTCATGATTAGGGCGCCAAAATGGGATGATTGGCGCCAAAGTTTACAATAAAAAGGGCTTCACTCTGTTATAACTCACCAATCTTAGAAGGGACGCTTGTGCTTCATTTTCTTCTTCCTTCATTCTAGGTCAGCCTCTTCTCTCTTCTCTCTTCTTTCTTGAATCATTACGGTTCGAATTATTATAGTATAGTCTATCTCTGCGTGTAGGTTCAAATCATCAAGTGTATTATGTTGAATGAGTTCTAGTGATACTCATATGCTTGGGTGTTTATTAATTGGGTATACATATTAGTTGCGTTGCTTCATCTGCGAATATGTGGGCTATTGTCATGGATGCAGGGACTAGCTTCACAGTTGTGAATTTTGGTGATACTCATATGCTTGGGTGTTTATTAACTTTTTTTTTCCAATTGAATTGTGTATTGGGTCTAACCTTATATGGGAAACAACTCAAGTCAAGAATCAGATTATAATCGTCTTGTTAATTAGTTGAATTAGGACCGAACCTACATTTAAAACGAAAACAGGTTTATTCCGTTTGAACCTTAAAACTCTCCATTTGAGAAGTTATGCCTGTGCTTCTGACTTTGTTGTTAGCCCACTTTAAAATATCAGCATCCGTCATCTCCTTTCCTTGGGAGTGAGATCGTAGATTTCTCAAAAGTTGAAGCATATTAAACCTCATCAACTGCCATAGGAACGCTGAAAAAAAGATGAAAACAAACTTTAGTATTTGATAACAAATTAGATTTAGCACATAACCAGTTACTCCAGTAGATCTGTTAAGCTCAAAGCTAAGGGAAAATTACCAAGTATGAGTTTCTTGTTTCCCTGTACTATATCATTTCCAGTTATGTTCACTAGTGAGAATTCTTTGTTGTTCATATATTCAAACAGGTATGGAACATACTGATGTTGTAGACATGATAACGAGGTTAAAGCGAAAGCGTGCTATAAATGAAGAGGAAAATAGGAAAAAGAGGAAAATTATTGTCGGTACGATTATATATGTTATTGTCATTGTCATGCATTGGTATAGTAAAAGTGTTCTTCTTAAAGAACCTTCAAATGATTGGGATCAAGAAAGACAATCTTTCCTCAGCCGATTGTTTAATGGAAAAGATTCAACTTGCATTGAACAATTACGAGTTAGCAAGAGTGCATTTAAACAGTTATGTGAGATTTTACAAGGGAATGGTGGATTAGTTCGCACTAGACATGTGTCCATTGAAGAATCTGTTGCAATTTTTTTGCATATACTTGCCCACAACTTGAAGTTTAGAGTTGTCGGTTTACACTATTATCGTTCCAAGGAAACAATTAGTCGGCAATTTCACAATGTGTTGCATGCAATGATGAAAATAAGTCAAGCATATGTGAAATATCAACCATGCGTTATTGGTAATTCTGAAAGAGAAAAGTGGCGGTGGTTTGAGGTAATCAATTAGCACCTAAACCAAAAAAATTATGTATTTGTTTGATAACTTCACTAGCTTTTTAGACTTTAATCTTTTTTTTCGTTGTATGACATTTTTATTTAGAATTGTCTTGGAGCACTTGATGGAACTCTCATTCTAGAAACAATAACGGCTGAGGAAAGACCAAGATATAGAGATAGAAAGGGTGATATATCCACTAATATGTTAGGAGTTTGTGGTCCAGATTTAAGATTTTTTTATGTGTTACCTGGATGGGAAGGCTCTGCATCTGATGCGCATGTTTTGCGTGATGCTTTACATAGGAGTAATCGGTTTCATGTTCCAAATGGTAATGTGTGATACCAATTAGTTCTATGTTAGATAAACAAAACTTTAAAATGTATCTAAATTTATTCTCTAATTTTTTATTGTAGATAAGTATTATCTTGTGGACGCTGGCTATACTAATGGACCGGGGTTTTTAGCACCTTACCGTGGAACTAGATATCACTTGAAAGAGTGGGTTGGAAACCGTCGACCTGAAAACTACAAAGAATTATATAATTTGCGTCATTCAAGGGCAAGGAATGTTATTGAGAGGGCATTTGGATTGTTAAAAAAACGATGGAGCATATTACGCACACCATCCTTTTTTGATATTAAAACGCAAGTTAGGATTATAAATGCATGTTGTATCTTGCATAATTTTATTAGAATTGAGCAAGCAGCTGATCCAGTTTTAGAAGCTCAAGATTTACAATTTTTAGCATATGTGGACTCCGAGTTGTTAAATCGTTCAACAAGAGAGGACAATGAAAATAACTCTGATGGGATTACATATGTTCAAGCTACTGCCGAATGGACAGCGTTTCATGATACATTGGCATTGCAGATGTTCCATGATTACCAAGCTCAGAGAGCTGCAAATACTTCTTAATCGAAAATTAGTTGTTTTTCTTAGCATGTTATCTTTAACGTCTCAGTTAATAATTTTGTCAATGACATTATTGCTACGAAATGCATTAGCTTTTAAATTTTATGGAATGCCCTTGTTTTCAGATTTTAGTATCAACCTTGGTGTTGTTTAAGTGGTCATCTTATTTTTCTTTTCTGTTAGTATTAGTTTAGTTTTGAACATGTACAAAGACAACTTGAAGCATGTACAGTTTTTTTCTTAAATGTGTTGAGATTTAGAGAATGACTTGATATTTGTGATCTCCTTGGTAGATACTCTGATTCTTGATATGCATGTGTTTACGAATGACTTAAAATTTCAATTAATATTTGTTTAATGTTAGGAGAAATGGAAGGATCTGATAGAAAACCAGTATGCAAACAAAAACTAAGGAGAAAGAAAGAGAACCAAGAAATTGAAAATGAAGGAGATGAGAATAATTATTTTAGATGGAATGTAGATATGGAACGTGTTTTGGCTGACATGCTTCGCAAAGACGAAGATTGGGTAACAAAGGAGATGGTGGTTGGAAGATAGCTGCTTATAATTCTGCTGCATCTATATTATCTACTCAATTTGATATTCATGTAACTGCCGATAACATTTGAAACCGTGTGAAGTCTTGGAAAAAGTTCTATGCAGTAGTAAGTGATATACTAAGTCAAAGTGGATTTAATTGGGATGCAACCAAAAAGATGATAAGTGTAGATGAAGATCATGCCTGGCAAGATTACGTGGAGGTATGATAAATTCATTATTTTTCTTTTCTGTGTGTGATATTCTTTTAACTCTTCTTATACTTACAGTTTGCTTTTTGATTTTAATGTTTTGATTGGTAGTCACATAGTGGTGCTAAAAGTTTTCGTTGGAAGGTCATTCCAAATTGGGATGATATAGTGGATTTGTGTGCCAAAGATAGAGCCACGGGTGAGGGTGCTGAAACAGGTGTGGAA